GTTCCACCACAAGACCGGTTTGCCTTGTAGCTGATAAAGTCTGTGACTCGTCTGTAAAAAAAGTTTTACGACCTTAAATATGTGTGCGAAAAAGCAAAAAGAGAGAGAGAGAGCGCAAGAAAGAAAAGGGAGGTATGTAGTCCCTGGGGATCTGGACATCCGTCTTCAAAGCAAGAAGAACACGGAAACCACCTCTTCTGTCCTCAGAGCGTTTTTGATCATGCTTCCCTGAGGTGAATGAGGCCAGGCCGGGAGCGTATCACGACACAAATAGACGCACAAGTAAACAGGCTGACAGACAGACAGACTGAGTGATAGACAAAGTCTCTAGTTCTAGTTTCTGCAGAGTCTCTTTTAAGGCTCTGCTAAGACAGGCTATGTGTAAACAAATGCATTGCAGTGGCTAAAAGACGCAGATAAAGCAGGGATAGAATGAGATCATGTGTAAATGTGGACCCTTGCTGCTCTACATAGCAATTAGAGAGATTGGACGAACAAAGAGAAAAAGAGTGAGCGAGAGAGCATACACAAGGGGATCGTGTGCGTGTGCGTGTGCGTGCGTGTGCGTGTGTGTGGGGGTGTCTGTGTGGGTGTCTGTGTGTGTCTGCAGGCATAAGAGGGGTGAGCAGGTTCAACAGGTCCCATGTTGGGAGGCTTGCCAGTGTTCAGGTGCTAGAATCCTATATCAGAGCCAGTGCTGACCATGGGTCTATATCAAGAGCCGGCTAGGGTTTCAGCCCCAGGCGGCGATGGAGGATTATTTTGACAAAGACGGGTTCTGGCCAGCCTGAAATAACTGATCCAAACTTGCTCTGACTTTCGTGCACTAATGAAGAACAGTGGGAGGAGAAGAGGGAAAGGCGACGTGAGATGCACCTCCTGCCCATTCCTGTCAGGAAGTTAAAAGAAGTGGTGTGAAACGGGAGAGCGTGTCAGGGGAGAATTCTGGGAAGCAGTGGAGAAAAGGGAAATGTCAGCACGCCAGATCTTCCTTGTATAGGCCTTGCATTCCTGATGCTTGTAAACCAGGGGTGAACTTTGGGATATTCATGCATAATCAGTGTACAGAGTGATGTGAGCTTTCTTGTCTCTTTGATAATGAGAAAAGAGGATAGAGATTGGAGCCATGGCACTTTTCCCTGGGAGGACGATGTAACGAACAGGCTGTCCCGAGTGTCTGGGGAGCAGCTATAAGTGAACCTGCAGCTATGCAATGTAACCGTAACTCAGGAGCGTGTATTAATTCATCAGCACAAAGCTGTCAAAGCTCAGGCAACAGTTTCCAATTTCAGAGCCCTCTCTTACATAGCCCTAGGTGCATATTATGTGAATGTGTGTGTACTCGAGCACAGGTGTGTTTTTAAAGGTGTGTTCTGAGCATATATATGGGATCCATAAGGACATGTGATGTGCTTCTCCAACACAACAGAGAATAATAAGAGTGAAATGTATGAGATGAACTATGCACAAGTATAGTGTCACTTGCAAAGTTAGGAATCTTGAATTAGGGAGTTATCAGATCATCTTAGCCTAAGGTTATGTGTACATAACGAATATTGTTTTCAAAGAAGCTAACTGCGTTGTTACGAACCAACTTTATCAAAGACATAATGTACAGTCTGTCTAGCTGCCAATCAACAGGCAGCTCGACAAGCAGTATTTCATGAATAGTTTTTAATCCATCATACTCTTTCTGGCGAAGTATGTAAATGAAAACAGTTTTTGACAGTCAACTCTGCAATCTAACATAACAGGTATGAAGTGCAAAGTTATGGAAGGATCACGTCACCGATTTTACTCATCAAGATCAGTTTACTCGTCATGGGAAGTCATGACCCATTGCAAGACCCATAGTCAAGAATACAACTGAAAATGTCTCTCTCTATGCAGCTTCCAATGTGAACATTTTGTTTTTAAACACGAGGCTTGTGAGTCTGTGAACTTTATGGAAGTGCAGTACTAAATTGCTAGAGCGCCCCTTCATTAATAAAACAAGGTCACAGTGTACTTATATACAAACACATTGGCCTTCAAGGCTACATAATAATGGCCAGATAAGATATAAATACCAAATGTGGATGAAGATGCAAGCAATCACTGGAACCCCTCTCTAACTTTGACAGTTGTGTTGATTTCCAATTACACCACATACTAAAAGCTTTCTTGTAAAGTAGCGAAACTTTGGATTAATCTATACATCTTGGATTGACAACTTCAATTTATTTTAGCAATATCTTTTTTTAAGCTTTTGAGAATACATTTTAACCTAATGCAGTCAAGCAGAAGCACTGGGAGTATAGGGAAGCTTAGTCTTGGCCCCTTCATCCTATTTATACATTGCATCCTACAAGACTAGTGAATACTGTGGAAGCACATGATGGCCCAGAACAATGTCATCACACATATGTTTATTCTCTGAATTCAGTAAACATTTTCTTGTCTTATAAATGGTGTTATATCTAATAATAATTCAGCTGATCTAAAGTCCTTTAAAAAAAAAAAAAAAGGCCAATGTGATTGAGGACAAAACACACAAAAGTTTACTGTGTTCATGCTTAGCTGACAGTAAAAGAAACCTCAATAAAAGCATTGTTGGGAAATTCTGTTTGCAGACATTTTCAACATTTTTGTTCAGTCACAGCTCGGCCTACATACACAAACGTGTACATAGTTACCTGACATCCTGAGGCATTTAAAAAATGAATTATTGGCCTTCATAGCTGAGAGTTTTTCACGTCAATGTCAGTGTTTTGTTTTGAGAACAAGGTGTTTGGAGTGTTTCTCCAGAAGGACAATTCCATTTTAGTGAAGTGTAAGATAAATACTCAATGCTTATAAAGAAACCTACTTCTGAATACATCAAAAAGTGATTATGTGACCTACAATGCACAGTCATATGTCACAAACCCAATTCATTTGCTTTTTTCACAATCACTTCAAGTGCAAGTCCTGAGTTAGGCTCTGCTATCATTAAAGGCACGTATTTGTTCTAATTAAACCTTAGACTGGTCTGCCATCTAGTGGTGACACAAAGTGCTGCATATAAGTTCCAAATGGACCACAGCCAATGAGCTCAAGACATACACTTAGACTAGAGGCAGTGAAAATGTTCAGAGCAACCAACACAGAATATCAGTTTTGAGGGCATATTAATGTGAGATGAGATAAAATAGAATTCGACAAATAAAAGAGCAAGGTATAACTGGGATTCCTGCCACCCTGGATGATTGTGTGACTAAAATAAATGAAAGCCTACATTGCCTGATAGCCCCCTAAACACATTTGTATTTAAACATAATTGTAGAAAATAAGCTACTGTTCTTGAAGTCAGTGTACTGATTTGTTGCCAATGGTTAATTTGTATGCTATAGTTCAATCTGTATAAGGCTTTCTGATGTCCAATCCAACTATGATTAGGCATGGGTCATAGACACTACCATAGTAAAATAATAATGTTTGATTAATTTGTATTTCTCAATATTATTTATTATGATTTGCCTACAGACCTTTAATTTACATGCTGACTTACAGAGTGAGGATGAGCCTAAAGGTTAGATAAGAGGGTTTAGGTTTTTGCAACACTGTGAACAGGCCATGATTGAATTAACATATTCACTGAAGGTCAGGGCCATGACTACTCATTTCATGTCTTTGTGGTTTTCCTAATTGTGGTGGCTTCAACAACCTAGTGGAAGTTTCCATTACACAGTTAAAAGTAAAGCGGTTGTTTAATAGGTTAATGTTAGTATTTTTAGACTTTTTTTAGACCAACAAGTTAACATTTTTGTATATAATTGGATTGTATTTTGGCAGCAAGAATATTTGAAACATACCTTTCCACACTGCCATTGACCTTCATATTTGGGATCAAAAGTTACAGGAAATAGCTAACTAAGAATTTTATTAAAAAAACTAAATGCACATATTTAAAATGTTAAAGGAGATTAACAATAGTATCGTTATTATAATGTTTTGAGGCCGATATTTGTGTTTCACCTTATCTACAGTGTCACATTCTGGGCTGTCATCAGTAAAGCCACAGTACGGTATAGTAAAACTAATCAAATTCAATATTTTTTATAGTGAATTATCTTCAGATTATCAACAGCAGGCTGAAAAATACCACAGCTCTCTAACCTTGGGGTGACCTGCTCTAGTCAGAGTACAGGATCTATTTGTGTCCGTCTCTTTTACTATCAAAACATTGCCAAGTGGCTCTCTTCAAAACCGCAGAGGGTTAAAGTGCTAATTTAAGACATTGATTCCCAAAATGAGGTCTGTGGACCCCAATGAATCCATGACACTCTACCAAGGGGTCTGTGGGGTACATTTTCAGATTCATTCATTTAAATTATCATGATTTAATAACCTTTTTTTTTACTTCATAGATTAACAAATATCATTTCAATTTAAAGAAAAAAATAATTGACTTCATAGATCATGTTCTATTCCACACACTGTGTATTAATTTATACTGCCATTATCCATGTTTAATTTAGCTTCTGTAAAGAACTTTTCACTTCACCCTTGTCTTGCCTTTAATACTTATTTTTAGGTAAAGAGTTACTAAGCTTATTCAATTAATGTAAGTTGCATTATTTGTAGGCTATTATGTGTTTAGATGTATTTGGAAGAAACATATATTTGTAATTCATATCTCTGGTGTTATTATTTTAATGTATCTGTCAAATAAATTATTTCACAGAACAAAGGTCATTGATCAGGGGGCTGGTGTCTTGTGAAGGGCTCCTTGACTGAAAAACAATGGTAAGTGAGATCTGATTTAGGACAACATTTCGTTTTCTTGAAATAATATAAAGGTGACTTAGTGCTGGTTACTTTTGGCTGCATTGCCTCAATCAGCTCATAACTTGTTGTCATGTTTAACTAGCTCCCTGTCTTGGTGCCTCGGTGAGTGGCTCTGTTATAAACACTTCCTCTGTCGTACTTCTCCTTTAAGCGCCGAAAAAGCCCCAGCCATGACGTCAGCAGTAAAACCTGCTGGGTGTCTGTCGGTCGGAAAGTGAACTGTGTGTTTGGCGTGCTACTGCTACTGTCGGAGTTTTCCCCTGTTGTCTGTCTTTCGTTAAGTGTTTTCGTCGTTTTTTTACTTCACTCGTAAGCTTGTACCTTTCTAATTTAGAAACCCAGTCCTGTCGCCGATTTATGGGCTGTTTTAGAAAAGTTCCTGAAGTGCTCTTTGAGGAACCGGTGGACGGCGGACACCACCGGAGATGGATAAGCTAACCGATAGCTGAGTTGTTAGCCGAGAATCACAGGTCAAGAATAGGATCAAGCTAGCATGCTAACAGCTAGCTAACTTAGCATTTAATCGGCTAACCAAGTGACTTTGTTAACCTGTAACGTCAGAACTACTGTCTGTTGTATCTCGGGCCTGGCTGCTACACTGTGAACACCGGAGGCCAGCTAACCCAGGAAGAAGACTCGGTCTGTAATTTTAAGGAAAAAGACAGAAGTGTTGTTAAGAAGTGGCTGTTGTTCGCCTCTCAGCCCAAACCAAAAGCATGCTATCCAACGCACAGAACCCGGGCCAGTTCCTCCCCTTCAACGCGAGACCCTCCTTACAGATCAAGAAGAATGCCATCACAGACGACTACAAGGTGACCAGCCAGGTGCTGGGGCTGGGCATCAATGGCAAGGTGCTTGAAATCTTCCAAAAGAAGACTGGAGACAAGTATGCGCTGAAGGTGAGTTATATTTGAGAAAAATATGGGTCAGAAAGCTATAATGTTAAGTGTGTAAAACTGAGGGACAGCAAGTTGAAATACAGCAAGTTTGTTGTCCAAATGTGGGTCTAATCCAAATGTCCCCAGCTACACACATTAATGTTGAGTTTCACGAAAGAGTTAATAAGACCTGGAAATATTGATTGATCAATTAGACCATTGACAAAACATGTATTGGCAACAACTATTTTAATAGCTGATTAAATCATTTTTTAAATGCAACATTGCCATAAAGTCACTGATTTTAGCTGCTTTATAGTTGCTAGTTTTCCTGTTTTTTTGTGATATTTTACTGAATACATTCACATTATTGGTTGAAGACACAACTTGAAGTCATCCTACAACCCTTTTCTTACGTTTTTATATACTGACTGGAGAACATTATTTGCAGATTAGGATAACATTTCTTTGTGATGTTTTTGTTGTCCTTATGGGTCGTGATAGTATTGTTCTCCCCATCTTTTTATCATCCCTGTTTGATAACTTTAACTGTCATACACAAATGATATTGACAGTGAACCATGACTGTATGAATGGAAACAAAATAGTTCAGGGTCTTGTCTTAATGGGTCAAAGCAGAATGCAGTTTTTAATGGTATTATTTTCTCTCAACTGATATAATCACCCTCTGCTCAGAAAGTGATTTTTTTGTTAATGAAGTCGTCTGTGATTTAAACCCCTTATATAGGATTAAATGGATTTTCATAGTCTAAGTTGAGTATTTATTTCACCTTCTAAGCAGTGATTTGTTAAATCTTATCATGTGTCAAAGTGTGTTGTGATCAGTGGAGTCCAGAGCCGGATATGTGATTTTGAAACAGTTTCTCAAGCTTTTCAATTGTAGTTGTTTTGATCATCCACCATTGAGTGTGATGATTTAACCCAGTGATAAACAAATATAGTTTTGTAGTTTCATCCCTGGATTTACATGTAGGTACTCTCCTGTGTCCTGTTTATTACAAACAGCTTAGGGCGGGTTGTAATGTCACCCTGCATCGTCAGGAACTACAACTGGAGTTAAACCTCTGTATCGGTCAATGATTGATAAAGGACAAACGTCACAACAGCTATACACACACTGGTTACCAAAATATGACCCAATGAAGACGTTTATTACTATAGCCCAATTAACTTTCTTTATTATGATAGAAGGGATTATTTTATAAAGGTTGTTATAGGTGTTACACAAAATCTCCCCCAAGTGAACCGCACACACCATGGGAACATCCTGTGCTGTGGTTCAAATAGAAATTCACTCTAAATAACCAGGTCACCGCTTTCTGTTTGTGTTTGTTCTAAACATGATCCCACACACAAACCTGTCAGTTGTTGATGTGTTGTCGTTTTAGAAAGTTGTGTTTGGTACAGCTTTTATTCCATCTAGTGTAACATGCTATTATTTCTGGTAGACATGGATATTGCAACTAAAGAGCTCTCCAACCGCACATCAACGCCAACAAAGGTTTGGTACAAATCCAAAGCACTCTCACTGAATTGTGAGCTATTATTATAAGTGCCCACATTTTTTAGTGATGCAAACATTTTACCTTCAGGGTCTTTTAAAGCAAGGATTGAACACCCTACACATCTTTTTAAATTCCTTTGCAGGTAGCCACACACCTTAGACATATCTTCCATTTCAGCCCGGCTTAAATGTCCGGACTCTTCAAGGCCCAAAGAATATACGAGGAGTAAAACATTTAACATATCATCCATAAATTATAATTACAGTGAACCATGACCGTAAGAACAGTGACAAAATAAATGGGTCAACGCGGGATACTGTTTTTGTATTAACTGATATAATCTCCCTCCTGCTCAACCTGTATTAGACGTTGGTTTGATACTATCTGGCTACGGTGATAACTCTGTGATAGAGAAGTTTAAAAGTGTCTTCACTGACTCCCTAGAAAACAGGAGAAACAATTAACATGGAGAAGAGTGTGGATGATATAGCAATTCTTTGGTATTCATATTTTGGCTAAATTATCATATTACACGCTACAATTTAGAAAAATAAATCCCCAAACGTCCTTGCATCATACATGTACAGTGTTTTAATGGCTTTAATTATTTGGCTGATAGAATAAAGCGCTGGGTTTAACTCTGCACTCAAAACTGTCTTATAATATTTGGCTAATTTTGATATATGTGATTTGTCGTATCACTTTCTGTTGTGGCTTAAAACTATGTGTACAAAGCTATGTGCTCAGTATTTGTGGAACTGAGTATGTTTTGTGAGAATCAGTGCTGCTTTTAGAAACTTTGATTTTGGTCTCAAAGGCAGTGTCAGATCAGGAAATATGGGGATACTTGAGACTTGATACTTGTTTATGATTTCACCCTGCATTCGCTTAATTTCTAGGGCTATGGTATCCCTTTGTGCAGATTATGAACCTATTTATAAGCCGATGATGAGGATTGGTGAGTTTAACATTTCAAAGGAATTTTAAAATTGCAGAAAGGGAAATGTACACTACAGCTCATACGATACATTTCCTGAAGAGATAAAGATTTGATAAAAGCTAGTGGAGATATAATTAAAAAAGTAATAACAAAAGTATGACAGGACCCGCTTTAGTTTTTTCTGTCGACACGGCACCAACCAGTTGTTGCTTCTGCCTCTTATATTTGTGGCTTCTTTTTACTTCCTTGAAACCCTTCACTTATTATTTTGTTCCCTTGTTACACTATTGGCATGTAGTGTGCTGACTTCTCTAATATATTGTCTTGCTGCTGTAAGACTGCAAGTAGATTGATACCTCAACTGAATGTAACTGTCCTTGTTGTTCCCTTCGCTGACGTCAGCTGAGTCGGCCCCCTTCTCATTTATTGTATTCATTAGGTTTGCAGTAGATGCCAGGACAAGGGAATCAGCCAGATTGGCCCAAGGTGAAACTACCTTGTAAAACTTTTATTTGTCTGTTGAACTGTTTGTGCTTAAAGTGCAACTGAATAATGTGTGTCTCTCAGATGTTCTGTGGTTGTGGGAGAGACACTGTGGCAGCGACATGGAGTCCAAAGGAGACTAACGTTTTGAAATTCCTGGAAATGCACATTTAATTTATAATTAATCCTTTTTGACTTTGTTGCTTTTGTCAGTGACGAAGCTACAGTATCTGCCCTTCTGTGCTGATTGATCTGTGTCCTGCCACACACACTTTTAAAGGGGTAGAGGCATCTATCTTACAGTGACTACAATTATATTCACACAACAAAACAGTTTATTGAGAGCAATCAGGTTAAAGTAAAATAGTACTGTTAAAAAAACACATAGAAGTGTGTTTCTGTGGCCTTGGCTGATACAGCATATTGGTAAAAAAGGAAAGTTCAGTTTGAATAATACATCCACTCGGTGCCAAAACACTGCACAGTTATGCAGTTTGCATTACCAAAGAATTCTACCTTTTAATCTGCACTTGAACCCAACACAGGGTCTTACTGAATACTGTTGCATTTGGTTGTGGTCAAATTTGAGCGGTGTGTTTTTCCCAGAAAGCACTGCATTTTCTTGTGTACGGACCTCCCACCGTGCCAATGCAGTGCTTAGATTGCAGTAAATGGAAAGATTTTCTAGCAGATTTCCTCTTGATGATGACTCACAATGTTCATTTTCTTGAGTTGCCAAAGTGTTTGTAGTTGGCTTCAATTTGTGTACAATTATTGACACTAAACATGCACTCATTGGGATTAGCTTAGTGACATATGGTATGTCCTCCTTTAGGCTGCTGCGCCTCTGACGTTTGTTCTGTATCTATTGATTATATTTAGAGGAGAAAGCCTGGCTGTTCCTTATGCATTCAAGCGTTTCCCACACAGACTTCATTTGGGCGAGCCGCCTCGGTATGTTATAGGCTGCGGAGGTATATTGCGAAACATTACAATCTTTTTTCAATGTTCAAGGTAATAGCCTCTTCCACAAACTATGAACTAGAGGGGGAGGGGCAAACAAGGACAAGCACATTTTTTGAAAACAGATTCTCGTCTTTAAGCTCCATAACATTTGGAGTTAATACTGGTCTTTATTCTATTTAATGCTTAATAGTTTCTTTAAAATATGTATTTGTATTATCTTTATATTTTTGACCTAATATTGCAACTTATATTCTTAGATTGTTTATGTTTGCTCCACCAGATACCAAAGAAAATTCCTTGTATGTGTAAACGTTTTTGGTAAGAAACTAGGCGACTGTCGTTAAGGTGATGTAATCAGAGACAGAAGGACTAAATGTTGAGCCACATTTTGAGAGTGGTTGACGTTGGAAATATGGATGTGGAAGTCAACGTGGTGAAATAAACACACCTGTCCAGGGTTGGGTAAGAAAAGAGGAACTGGAAACACTGGCCAGTTTGAAATGGCAGCGTTTTCTCTTTTCTTTATGTGGTTTTGATTTCTGAAAGGTTCTCTTGGATTTCTACTGAACAGAAAAATCCAAACTTGATTTAAATGGTGTCCTAAAACAAATGATTTCTAGTACACAATATACATCTGAGTGTAGCATTGACAGTGTCAGCGTGTCGGATTACAGGTTAGCTCGGAGAGGAAGAGCCATGCCCATGCTTCAATCATGAGATGGTGAGAGGAAGGAAGGAAAAGGAGGGAGGGAGGAAGGAAGAGGTTCTCTGGTTGCTCCTCTGTTTCTCAATAACTGTTCCATTAGAAGAGTGGCATCTAGAAGATGTCTTTTGATCATTGCTATTAGAGTGCCTCTTCATTATTCCACTATACAACTGATCTACTGCTGTCAACATACAATTAATAAATAATTTATTGTTCTCTGTTGTTGAAAATCAACAGTTTGATCTTTATTACTTTACTGGTCATCTTCGCTATTTGTGCAAATTACACTTTCACAAGATTTGCTGCTGCAGAAAATTATAACTAATTGCTAATTTACTGACAGAGCTAATGTTTACGAACACAATCCAACATATGAATTGGTCGATATATTGGTAGTTTG